CAAATCTTGCATATGCATCACATACAGCATCCCGCATATCATACCATGTTTGCATCATATTTTTTGGGCATTGCACGTGGTTGATTGTGTTCCGTTTGCTTGTTGTTCTTGTTTGGGTAGAGCCGGGAGACGATTTCGTGAACGAGGAGCCCGTTGAGTTTGCTTACGAGGATCAAGTCAACTCTGACAACTTTGCAGGCAAGATGATCATACCCTCGAAATCACTTCTATCTTTGCTTGCTAGATGCTCGCTCTTTTGCTATGCCTATGCTACGATGACTACCACTTGCTTATCATGCCTCCCAAATTGCCATGTCAAACCTCTAACCCACCATGTCTAAGAAAACCGTTGATTGGCTATGTTACCGCTTTGCTCAGCCCCTCTTATAGCGTTGCTAGTTGCAGGTGTAGATTGGAGATCGTTCCTTGTTGGAACATTGTTTATTGTTGGGATATCACTATATTATCTTGTTATCTTAATGCACCTATATACTTGGTAAAGGGTGGAAGGATCGGCCTTTTGCCTAGTGTTTTGTTCCACTCTTGCCGCCCTAGTTTCCGTCATATCGGTGTTACATTCCCAGATTTTGCGTTCCTTACGCGGTTGGGTTATAATGGGAACCCCTTGACATTTCGCCTTGAATAAAACTCCTCTAGCAAGGCCCGACCTTGGTTTTACCATTCGCCACCTAGCCTTTTTCCCTTGGGTTTCGCGGACTCAAGGGTCATCTTTATTTTAAACCCCCGGGCCAGTGCTTCTCTAAGTGTTGGTCCAACCCAGAGCACCGTGCGGGGCCGTCCCTTGGCAACTTGGGTTTCGTTGGCTCCCGTACGCTTAGCTTATCCGGTGTGCCCTGAGAACGAGATATGTGCAGCTCCTATCAGGATTTGTCGGCACAGCGGGTGGTCTTGCTGGACTTGTTTTACCATTGTCGAGAATGTCTTATAACCGGGATTCCGAGCCTGATCGGGTCTTCCCGCTAGAAGGAATATCCTTCGTTGACCGTGAGAGCTTGTGATGGGCTAAGTTGGGACACCCCTGCGGGGTTTTGAACTTTTGGAAGCCGTGCCCGTGGTTATGGGCAGATGGGAATTTGTTAATGTCCGATTGTATATAACTTGAAACTTAATTTAATTAAAATGAATCAACTGCGTGTGTTACCATGATGGTCTCTTCTTGGCGGAGTCCGGGAAGTGAACACGGTGTTGGAGTAATGCTTGACGTAGGTTGTTCTAGGATCACTTCTTGATCATAGTTCTTCGTTCGTGCTTTGCCTTCTCCTCTCGCTCTCTTTTGCGAACAGGTTAGCCACCATATATGCTAGTCGCTTGTTGCAGCTCCACATACTACCTTGCCTTTACCTATAAGCTTAAATAGTCTTGATCACGAGGGTGCGAGATTGCTGAGTCCCAGTGACTCACAGATTACTTCCAAAACCAGATGCAGGGACCGATGATACCGCTCCAGACGATGCGCTTGAGCTCAAGTGGGAGTACGATGAAGACTCTCGTCGTTACTATGTGTCTTTCCCAGATGATTAGTAGTGGTGCCCAGTTGGGGCGATCGGGGATCGTGTCGCATGTGGGGGTTGATCTTTATGTTGGTACCGTAGTCGGACCATGAGTGTATTGGATGATTGTAATGTTATTCATGTATTTGTGTGACATGGCGAGTGTAAGCCAACTATGTATCCTTTCCCCTTTTATATATTACATGGGTTGTTGTGAAGATTACCTTACTTGCGACATTGCTTTCAATGCGGTTATGCCTCTAAGTCATGCTTCGATACGTTGGAGATATAGCCACATCGAGGGCGTTATATTCCACTGGTGGTGCCCTTGAAGGCGGCAACTCGGCCTTTACAAACAAGGTTGGGGCAATCTCCACAACCAAATTGGAGGCTCCCAACAGCACCACGAAGCTTCACCACAATGGACTGTGGCTCCGAGGTGACCTCAACCACCTAGGGTGCTCAAACACCCAAGAGTAACAAGATCCGCAAGAGATTAGTGGGGGAATCAAATTTCTCTTGGTGGAAGTGTAGATCGGGGCCTTCTCAACCAATCCCTAGAAAATCAACAAGTTTGATTGGCTAGGGAGAGAAATAGGGCTAAAATGAGCTTTGGAGCAACAATGGAATTTTCAGGAGGAAGAGGTACTTTTCTTGCAGAAGAAGACCCCCTTTATATAGTGGGGGACAAATCCCACCGTTATGCAACCCTCAGACCGCACATAAGCGGTACTAACGCTTGAGGAGCGGTACTACCGCCCAAGCGGTAGTGGCAAAAAGTATGTGCAATGACACAGGGCCACGAGCTAGTAGTGCCGCCGGAGCGATACTACCGCTCGCCCCAGAGATACTACCGCTGGGGTTGCAATACTACTGCACTGTGGTGGTAGGGGCAGTGGTAGTACGGACACAACGGTACTACCGCCCGAAATGGGCGGTACTACTGCTTATAGCCGGTACTACCGCTCCCTACTACCGCTGAGGCAAACAGGGGAACGCTGAAGAGTAGAGCCGCGAGCGGTAGTGGCAACAGTAGTAGGCGCAATACTACCACCTATAAGCGGTACTACCGCTTCAACTATCGCTCCTACTACCGCTTGTCGTACTGGGTCAAAAGGGGTTCCACGGAAGGGAGCCAAAGGGACTATCGATGGACTACCGTGTAACCCGACACAACAAAACGAGCCCCGAGCATAGGACGGTAGTACACACGGTACTAGCAGCGGTGCTACTGCTGGCAACACTCCAACACCCTTCTGCAAAACAGAGGAAGAACTCCATCGAATCGGAAAGATAACCGGGGTGCAAAGAAGAATGTGTACGTGATGATTCCACCCAAACCTTTCTGAAGCGGGCCCCTCTTGATAGTACGGTTTCCTTATGACTCAAGTTCATCGAAAAAAGCACGAAAAACAACCGTCTTCACTCAAAAACTCCGCGGGGCTCGAATCGTCTTATGCCATATGATCAATTATCTGAAATGCACAAAGCACACGATCAGTCTGCAAAGACATTGTCATCAATCAACAAAACCACTAAGGGAGAAATATGCCCTAACAGCAGTGGTACCACCTCTTGCTCAGCACCGACTCGCAGAGGACCAACTCTCGGCGGAGCGCATGTTCGAAGATGCCGTAATGGCCATGGTTGCAACGAACCTGGGCTTCGTGAATGAGAATCGGGCGGTCCTCGCATCCGTGCACAATGATGCATCATCTGCTGCGAGTTGGCAGCTCCGCGTCAACAAGGTGTTGCGCAACCGCCTCTTCGAGGGGCTGGAGGACAAGGACGATGACGCGCTAGACCAACACGACAGCGATGCCAACGAGGCATTCGTTGTCAACTCTGAACCGTCTCACGCGGGGCCGTCGACCTCACTCCGTTGGAGATGAGTGGAGTAGGATTTTAGTTGTTTTTAGGTCCTTTTACCATCTATTATTTCCGCTTCAGTTGGATGGCCGGCTGCCCGCCCACTATTTACAGACACGTCGAGAAATGTCCTCATACATTTAGGACCGTCCATTTGGTATTCAGTTTGGAGTTGCCTGGCAGACTATTTACAGACTAACTGTTTATGTGAAAGTTTAATTTTATAACGAAGAAAAATAATAATGGGACACTAACAAATGAAGGGAGAGCTTACGCGGTGTGACAACGGCTTGCTGCACCGCTTACTTTCATCTCATTTCTTCCCCACCCATCACCTCCCTTGGATCTGCAACCATTATTATCGTCCACGCACCGCTGCCCGTCCACTGCCCACGAACACGTCGAGAAATATCTGCATACATTTAGAACCGTCCATTTGGTATTTGGTTTGGAGTTGCCCTGACCCTCTTGATAAACTGTTCACAGACCAACCATTTCAGTTCAGGCTGCAAGTGGGATTACCTGCGGGCGTCCCACTTAATGTCGCAACTGTCCACTTATTTATGTGGGCTTATGTGGGTAACCCACAAATGCTACATGGTTTGTTCGCGGACGCCCGCTTGCCCACATAATTAGTAGACAAAGCGAAACAGAATAGATCAATCGTTAGACTAACTCACAGGAAGGAAGCCAGATGGGGATCACTAAAACTTCATAACACAGCTGCATGCTGAACGCACTACGGGTTGGATTTTGCTCTGTGATTCTCACAGTCAACAACCTGCTCATGTGGGTTGGATTTTGCTTTGTGATGCTCGCAGTCAACAGCCTGCTCTTGCGGGCCTTGTTAGTTGAATCGTGATCCTAGACGCGGTTGTTGCTCGCCTTCAATCAGCCGCTCCTGAAACCTTGCCGGTCATCAGATTTAACCATTCATTACATTATTAAACTTAGACTCGGATAATAGTGTCAGAGAATGAGATAGTCATGGAGTAGAGAGGATGGTGGGAGGTTTCTCGGCCATGGAGGAGCTAGCTAGCCGCCAGCACTCTAGCGACTCCTCACGGAATACTTTTTTTTCTTGAGACAATCTTCACGGAATACCTAATGTCCAGTGTTTGTATCGAGGAAGGATATTTGGGTTATGTGGGTAAGATGCGAGCCTGGCGGGATGTTTCACAAGTCTCACATATTTTCTTTCTCAACCGTGGACGTCCACGAATGACATTATGCGGGCTTGATTAAGCGGCGCCGCGGACGGCCCGTTCCCACTTGCAGCGTGAATTTCAATGAAAGTTTAATTTCAACAAATAAAATGAAATGAAACACTGACAAATAAGAAAAAACTCACGTGGTGTGACTACGCCTCCACTTTCCTCTCCTTTCTTCCCCACCCACCACCTCTTTATCGTCCACGCACCTCTCCTCCCATAGCCTCTCGCTCCACTCGCCGCCTGCGCTGACCTGTGGGCCCCTGCTTCTGCCTCCCCTTCCTCATCTTATTACTTTCCCCACCACGCCGATCCGCCGGTTTGTCTCGCAAACCCTAACCCTAGAGTCCGCTTCGCTCCTCCTCCCCCAACAAGATCTCTCTCCTAATCTTTGGATGCACCGGCTCCGATGTCTGCCCCACCACCCCCCGCCTCCTCCGACGATGATGGTAAGCCCGCCGACGAGGAGGGCGTAGAGATCCGCGAGGTATGGGCGAACAACCTCGAGGCGGAGTTCGCCGTGATCCGTGACGTCGTCGACGATTACCCGTACATCGCCATGGACACCGAGTTCCCGGGCATCGTGTGCCGCCCGCTCGGGAGCTTTCGCTCCAATGACGAGTACAACTACGCCACCCTCAAGGCCAACGTCGACATGCTGAGCCTCATCCAGCTTGGTCTCACCCTCTCCGACGAGAACGGCGCACTCCCGGCCAGGGGCACGGGGGGGCGCCCCTGCGCCTGGCAGTTCAACTTTCGGGGCTTCGATCCGCGCTCAGACCCCGCCAACGCTGACTCCATCGACCTGCTACGCAACAGCGGGATCGACTTCGACCGCTTCACCACCGAGGGTGCTGACACAGGCCACTTCGCCGAGCTGCTCATGTCGTCGGGCGTCCTGCTCAACGCTGAGCTCCAGTGGGTCACATTCCACAGCGGGTACGACTTCGGGTACCTGCTCAAGCTGCTAACCGGGCGGAACCTACCCGACACCATGCCTGGATTCTTTGACCTCATCAGAATCTACTTCCCTGTGCTGTACGACATCAAGCATCTCATGAAGTACTGCGGCAGCCTCCATGGTGGCTTGAGCAAGCTTGGTGAGCTACTTGGTGTCCAACGTGTGGGGATCTGCCACCAGGCTGGGTCCGACTCGCTGCTGACCTTGCAGTGCTTCCAAAAGCTGAAGGAGGCATATTTCAGAGGATCGACCGAGAATTATGCCGGTGTATTGTATGGTCTTATTTCTGATGGTGGGGAGAACAGACCACCAGCAGCTCTGCTCATCGAATGAGTAATGGATAGTCAAATAAGACAATGTTATGGTTGAAAAAAAGGAAATGTTTCTGTTGAATATATGCTCTCTGATCTGAATATTTGCTTGTGGTTGCCATAGTATAGCTATTGTTCCCAGTTAAATGACTCTCGTTGCTATATCATGGTAGTTCTGTTGAATGCTCGGTCTTTCCCTTTGAGCTGTATGGGACATCTATCAAGGTTTGGGACAGCCCTTGATGTGTACGACTGAAAATTGAACTGTTGTGCATTTTGGGGGGAACCCAGTCATTCATATAGAGGTGTCAACCATCTGGTCTTAGTTTTGCTGCCATATTGCCTTTCTGTGGAATTCAATGAACTCTTCATTGTTTGTGTTGATTTTCATTCTTCAGAATGAATGATTTTCATATTGCAGCTCAAAGTAGTTGATTAATATTTTTTTCAGTCTAGACTATTAAGTATGTCCAAACATATCATTGCTTGCACAGCCCTAGCACCTCTTATCAACCATTGTAATGGATATCCTGCAAGATAAACACTATTTGACTGGCTCCCCTTAATTACTGGGACTTGACTGTAATGTAGAATGTTTATTTTAGCAGCCTTTTAGGTGCATAGGTGCACAACATGTGTTCTATCATACCAGTTTCTTGCTTTATTTCGCTAACGTATCACAAATACCATTTCAGTAAATGCAGAGCTTGATTCAGCGTTCTACTTTGGTTTTGTCCCATACTGGGAACTACTCCATTGATATCAAACCTACAGTTTTTCTCTTCGCAGGTGATAAGATAAGATCGTTTGCTCATTTACAGTGGCCATTGAGGGCTTCTTTGGATTGTAGGAATTAAACCTACAGTTTTTCTCTTCACTGGTGATAAGATAAGATCGTTTGGTCCTTTACAGTGGCAACTGAGGGCTTCTTTGGATTGCGGGATTTTTTTTAACATAGGAATAGGAAAAAATTGGATTGAGATAGCATGTTCTATGTATTCTACGGGGTTACAAAACACAGGAATTTTATAAGATGTGTCTTTAGATGGTGCAAATGGAAATGAATAGTTTTAGGGTTTCTTTGGATTGCAGGCATTTTGAAACATAGGAATAGAAGGAAAAAAAACTATTTGAATTGAGATGACATGTCCTGTGAATTCCAACTAGACTTCAAAACACGTTGAAAGATGGTACTTCTAGCTTAGTTGCTAGTGCCATTTCTTATGACTGTTATTATATGTTGTTAGATTTTAATCATGTTGTGTATCATCATTGTAATAGGGAGAGCAACCAGGTCGCTCATGAACTAGCTAGGCAGCTAAGTACTCTTCCCCTAGTATCTGGATGGACTGTCCTCCGAGTGAGATGGTTCCCTTGGTTGTAAATGATGCTACTCTATTGACTGAATAAAGGAGGAACCAGTTTTTCAAAAAAGACTTCAAAACACAGGAACTTTATAAGCAGTGTCTTTGGATGGTATAGGAAATGAAAACATGAATATAAAAGGATTGAGAGAGACACAGAGTGCAAGTTCATTGGACTTCTCAAAAGAAAATAATAAATGAGGTTTGAGCTCATGTTTAAATTCCTATGATGTTGGCGGATGATCGTCGAGATCGAAGCTGAAAATAATAAATGAGGTTTGAGCTCATGTTTAAATTCCTATGGTGTTGGCGGATGATCGTCGAGATCGAAGCTACGGTGCTGCTCCTATGTTGTTCGGCCACGGGTTAAACACTTCAATCATTCCATACACGCGTGGAAGGATTACCCAGGTTTAGGCCACCGTAGTGGTGTAATACCTACTCCTGCTTCAGTGTTTTTTTTTCTGTATTCCTTTCTACAAATGTTGCCGCCATGCCTTTTTTATACTTAAAGGGCTTGGCTTGGTTGACTTCCCACATGTCCCTACATAACGCCAGGAGCAGGGATGATAGACATCTATTGTGCACGGAGAGCGGAAAGCCCTTTACACCGTGCATATGTCTCACGCTGCCATCGATCAGAGCATGGCATGGCGTAGTTGATAGGATCGATATGGTTGACTAGAAGGGGTGAATAGGTAACTAACAATTTTTAGCTTTTCTTTACCAAATTAAACTTAGCATCAAAATAGATTGTCTAGATATGCAACTAGGTGAACAACCTATATGAAGCAACAACAACTAGCACACAAGCAACCAAGGGATACAACACAATATAAGTTTGCATAAGCAAAGGTAAGAGATAACCAAGAGTGGAACCGATGGAGACGAGGATGTGTTATCGAAGTTCCTTTCCTTTGAGAGGAAGTACGTCTCCGTTGGAGCGGTGTGGAGGCACAATGCTCCCCAAGAAGCCACTACGGCCACTGTATTCTCCTCACGCCCTCACACAATGCGAGATGCCGTGATTTCACTATTGGCGACCGAACCTTTACAAACAAGGTTGGGGCTATCTCCACAACTTAATCGGAGGCTCCCAACAATACCACGGAGCTTCACCACAATGGAATGTGGCTCCGAGGTGACCTCAACCGTCTAGGATGCTCAAACACCCAAGAGTAACAAGATCTGCAAGGGATTAGTGGGGGGAATCAAATTTCTCTTGGTGAAAGTGTAGATCTGGGCCTTCTCAACCAATTCCTAGAAGATCAATAAGTTTGATTGGCTAGGGTGAGAGATCGGGCAAAAAATGAGTTTTGGAGCAACAATGGAGCTTGGGGGAAAAGAGGTAGGTCAACTTGGAGAAGAAGACCTCCTTTTATAGTGGGAGAACCAATCCAACTGTTACCCCCCTCTTCAGCCCGCACAGAGCGGTACTACTGCTCAGTGGGGCAGTACTACAGCTGGTAGAAATGGTACTACCGCGACCCCAGCGGTACTACCGCGGTGACTGAGAGTAGAAGCAAAAGAGAGAGAACATGAGAGAGAATGAGGGTATAGGCGACACTAGTAGCGGTGGTAGTCGCGGTACTACCGCTGTTACTGCCGCTACTACTGCCGCACATCCCGACACAAGAAAAAACATCCTCGTATCGAGGAGATAGCGGTGCCGAACCAGGACGGTACTGCCGCCAATGCACCCAAGCGGTACTACCGCTGTAGGACAGCGGTACTGTCGCTTGAGGACCATGGGCGGTACTACCTCGCTCCCCGTCAAAGAATATTCGACACAAGGGGAGCCAAAGAATATTCTCAAGTATTAGCAGCTGAGTTGTCAATTCAACCACACCTGAAAACTTAATATCATTTTTGGGTTTTATAGTGATTGTAACAGTAGTAACGGAAAAGTAAATAAGCGAAGAACAATATATGAAAAGCTCGTAGGCATTGGATCGGTGATGGAGAATTATGTCGGATGCGATTATTCATGCAACAGTTATAACATAGGGTGGCACAGAACTAGCTCCAATTCATCAATGTAATGTAGGCATGTCTTCCGAATATAGTCATACGTGCTTATGGAAAAAAACTTGCATGACATCTTTTGTCCTACCCTCCCGTGGCAGCGGGGTCCTATTGGAAACTAAGGGATATTAAGGCCTCCTTTTAATAGAGTACCGGACCAAAGCATTAACACATAGTGAATACATGAACTCCTCAAACTACGGTCATCACCGGGAGTGGTCCCGATTATTGTCTCTTCGGGGTTGCCGTATCATAACACATAGTAGGTGAATATAGACTTGCAAGATAGGATCAAGAACTCACATATATTCATGAAAACATAATAAGTTCAGATCTGAAATCATGGCACTCGGGCCCCAGTGACAAGCATTAAGCATAGCAAAGTCATAGCAACATCAATCTCAGAACATAGTGGATACTAGGGATCAAAACCTAACAAAACTAACTCGATTACATGATAAATCTCATCCAACCCATCACCGTCCAGCAAGCCTACGATTGAATTACTCACACACGACGGTGAGCATCATGGAATTGGTGATGGAGGAAGGTTGATGATGACGATGGCGACGAATTCCCCTCTCCGGAGCCCGAACGGACTCCAGATCAGATGATAACTATCGATTTGGTGGAAACGACTTTGACGATTCGACTACAAACATGCAATGACGTAGCGCCTTAGCAATCGCTAAACCAACTCCGAGAAGTTATTGACCATGCCGGAGCACGATCAACCTGACCACGAAGGTCTATTCCTGCACGCAATTGAAGAACAAGTAAGAATATGATAATGCAATCTGAATATTGCGAATATAGATGAAGTATTGATAAAGGTGGGGATCCGAAAGCGGTCTTGGTCTGGTCGTTGGACACAAACGAAGTACACGAAGTTGCAATGACTAACTTTTAACTAAACAAATCCCAAGGAAAAAGCTACTAGATGGATCTACTTATATAGTAGCAAGGGGTGGCGGCCAAGGAGGTGGAAGGACGCCCCAAGTCAGCCTAAAACCAACCCTAGGTCGTACAAGGCTCATTGGCCCAAATGGAGGTGATGCAACACCTTTGGACTTGTTGTTTGACTTGGATTCTGCTGCAGCATCAGATTGTTTCGTCGATATCTCAATGCTCCAAATGAATTTAAAGGTGAATCCAATTGGGTTGGAAAGAGCATGAAATCTACTTTCCAACAAAAAAGAATCACCCAATTTGGAGTCCGTATGAAAAAGTTGCTGGCGTTTTGAGTCGGGTATGTCTATGCAGTCCGAATCTAAATCCAAAACGTGAGAGACTTGGACTCTATCTTCTCTTGGCCCAAAAGTGACGTGAAAGGACTTTTTGAATAAAACCTAAATTTCTCCTTTTCCCTTATCTTCATGTGTGGATTGTACAAATGTCCCATACACCTGCAGTTAGACAAAACACAAAAGTGTGTGAAGTATTTTTGTTCTGGATAACATAAATAGATTATTGAATAGTTTGCACTAGAAATCACTTGAGAAATATGCATGTATGCAATATTTTTGGTCATATCCAAGGTAGTCATGTCCTCATCATCCTCCCCTTCTTGAAAACAAAGCCGTCCTCGGCGTTGCTTAATGTGAAATGTGGCTAACAAAAGAGACAAGGTGTA